TAGCCTCCTCAAAATAGTTTGGAAGGATTGCAAGGTATAATAATCTCAACCTAGTTGTTGTTGGTTCTTTCCTTCTGGTTCTATACATATATTATACTTCACCTTCTCTTCATTTTGGTTTAATTTCTGTATCAGAGACCTTCCTTTTGGATTTTAATTTCCATTCTAATTTTGTTTTTGTGTAACAGTTGCATGAGAATTTGAAAATCCTTAATCTCAGTCATTCCTATAAGCTAACAAAATCACCAGACTTTTCAAAACTCCCAAATCTCGAGGAATTGATATTGGAAGGCTGTGTGAGTTTGTCTGAGGTTCACTCATCCATCGGGGATCTTGGAAGACTTTCTTTGGTAAATCTTAAATACTGCGCAATGCTAAGGGATCTCCCACTGAATTTCTATAATTCCAAGTCATTGACAACTCTGAAAGCAGATCAGACAGCCATAAGACAATTACCAAGCCTCAGTCGTCTTTCACAGCTTCAAGATTTGTCTCTAAATATGTGCGAACATCTTCGTGCAATCCCAGATTTACCAACAAATTTGAAAGTCTTAGAAGCGGGTGGCTGCATTGCATTGGAAAAAATGCCAGATTTTTCAGATATGTCAAATATAAGAGAATTGCATCTAATTGATTCGGGCAAACTCACTGAGATTCCAGGCCTGGATAAGTCATTAAACTCCATGACAATGATTTCTATGGAAGGCTGCACTAATCTCACTGCCGATTTTAGGAAGAACATCCTACAGGTCAATCACTCTCTCTCTCTCAAACACACATACATCTTTCTCTTTCTATCACATACAACGCATGCATGCATAAGAATGTATTTCTTATAGAAATTTGGCTCTACATGGTATAGGGATGGACTTCTTGCGGATATGGTGGCATTTTTCTCAGTGGAAATGATATTCCTGATTGGTTCGACTGTGTCCATGACGATGATATTGTGTATTTCACTGTGCCTCAAAGTGTTGGTCGTATTTTGGAAGGGTTAACTTTGTCCTTCGTTGGCTCTTCAGTCATCTACGGTGATGATCGTATCAGCATTAAAAACATGACCCAGGGTACTAAGCTTGACGCCAGGATCACACCCAACATTTGGCCAACTGAGGGTTATTATCTTTGGCAGGGACAGTTATCAAATGATGAGCTCAAATTGCAAGACGGCGATAAAGTCTTGATTGAAATAATACCCGAAAATGGTTGGGTGAAGGTGAAGAAAACAGGTGTTAGTCTGGTATGGGACAAATTTATGAACGAAAATATGATTGATTACCATCTTTGTGAGTATGAACGACGCCCATATCTGGTCAATGATGATGTCATCATTCATGTCGAGTATGATTTTCACATAACAAAATCACCAGACTTTTCAAAATTCCCAAATCTCGAGAAGTTGATATTGAAAGGTTGTCAGAAGTTGATTAAGATTCACTCATACATCGGGGATCTCGGAAGACTTTCTTTGGTAAATCTTGAAGGCTGCAACAATCTAAAGGATCTCCCACTGAATTTCTATAAATCCAAGTCTATTGAAACTCTTATACTGAATGGTTGTTCAAGATTTCAAAACTTGGCCGATGGCTTAGGGGACATGGTATCATTGACAATTTTGGAAGCAGATAAGACAGGCATCAGACAAATCCCAAGTCTCGCCAGTCTTTCAAAGCTCAAGGTCTTGTGTTTAAATGGATGCAGAGAACTTCTTGCAATCCCAGATTTACCAACCAATTTGTATGTTCTGAAAGCAACTGGCTGCCCACAATTGGAAACAATTTCAGATTTTTCAAAAATGTCGAATATGAGAGAATTGTATCTAAGTGATTCGTTCAAACTCACTGAGGTTCCAGGCTTGGATAAGTCATTAAACTCCATGACAAGGATTCATATGGAAGGCTGCACCAACACACACACACACACACACACAATTTGACTGCCCATGTAATGATATATGCAAGCATGTATAAGAATGTCTTGCTTTTGGTGTGCAGAGATGGACTTCTTGCGGATTTGGTGGAATTTATTTGAAAGGAATTTATGATATTCCTGAGTGGTTCAAAATCGTCAATGATGTGGGCAATATCGTATTCTTTGAAGTTCCTCAAAAAATCATGGGTCGTGATTTAAAAGGGTTGACTATATGCTTCGTTTACTATTATCTTGTTTTTGGCCCAAAACTTGAAGATTCTGAAGGTCCTATTGGCATTATTGTTAGAAATCTTACCAAACAAACTGCTTTGCACGCCAAGATAGCATTTGCCAGATACCGAAGACCAGAACCCCATTCGTTTTTGTCAAACGAACCTGAAAACGATTATCTTTGGCAGGGACAATTGTCAAACGATGTGCTCTGTTTGCAAGGCGGGGACCAAGTCTCCATTCTTGTAAGGCCTCTAGTTGATTTTGTGATAGTGAAGAAGACAGGGGTTCATCTAGAATGGGACAAAGTCATGAAGGAAAAAATGGATAATCCGGATCCTCATTTGTATGATTTGGAAACAAATCGGGATTTTTTGTCATTGTCTATCATGGAAAATCTGGATTTTTCTGGAGGAGCTGATGATGGGGCAGGACGGAGCCATGGTGCATCTAATCAACCGAGTGCTGTAGATAAACAATTAGAATGGGACGGAAGTCATGAAGGATCTAACTCACCCCTGAATTAGACCAACACTCCAATGCAAAAACTACAGTGTGGAGAGACGTCCATCCCGTTTTCTGGGCTGCGGTTTGGTAAGATGACCCAAATCTATTACAACGTTACAAATTTTAATAGGAAATCTATATCTACTTCAATGATTTGGTGATGAGATGACTCAAATGAGAGAGCCACGAAGAGACCACCACCTGTCCCAAAGCCCCACATGTCACATTCTGGTGCACTCTTCACTTCTGTATGTAGTAGACACGTGTTAGCATAAGCAGCAACATACACTTCACACCTCCTTCGCACATGAAACATCACAAACCACTCGTGCACAAAATAAAATACTCATGGATCGTAGAAAAAATAGAGGTATTTATATGAGATAGCTCTTTACAAGGCTGAATAATACATGAGCTTCACATTTAAGCCCAAATATAGATCCCAAAATATAGAAAAATCCTATGCAATCCAAATTCTATAAAACAGCCCTGGACTATTCAATAGACTTACCTATACAAACAACCCTTGAAAATTGTACAATTTAAAAAACAGCCACTGCAATAAGGGCACTTCCAGCAGTGAAACCCTTGCCATGGTAAGGGGGGCTAGGGCTGACACTATTCACATGAATAGTGTCTCCCCTTGCAAAAAGTAAGTTGCACTTCCAGCAGTTGCCATGGCAAAGGGCAATTACTATTCAATTTTTTATTTTTTTTACAAATTTGTTTACCTAAACAATTAATTTGGACAATATTGAGTAGAAAAAAATAAAACTTGAAAGTGAAAAAAATATTGAGTAGAAAGTGAATAATAGTTGGAGAAGGAGAAGATGTATGAGGACTTTTTGTTAAAAGTGAAGAGTAGGGATTGGTATTTATAGAAAAAAAATTTCCGAATTTTTTTCATAACTTTTTGACTTGAAAAATTCCAGACCGTTGGATTGGATAACAAAACGAATCAGAAGGACCAGAAGACGCCACGTGGCATAGAGCCGTCGGCGGAAAGCTGATGATGTCAGCCGCGCCTTCGGGCTCGCGCTCGCGCTCAGGCTCCCCCCGCCTTCAGGCTAGCCCAGGCTCGTGGATCCCACCTCCTGCCCGAGCCAGCCTTTGCTACTGGAATCCCATTTTGGGCTCCCCCCTAGCCCGAGCCTTAGGGGGCTGCTGGAAGTGGCCTAATATTACTAGATACCCAAACACAATTTTTCAACAAAAACCCAAAACCTGCCCAGCACACTTTGTTACAAAAATACCCATTACAAAACCGACAAAAAAACATGATATCTTATGCTTTTGGCCCTTGATTAGAACCCCCTTTGTCTTGATATCCATCTTTCATACAACTGCATCATATATAGTCGTTTGACACACTGCATTATTTGTATCTATATCAACTTTTCAATAGAAATTTAATGCATTATTTTTTTCGTTTAGAAAACTACTAGTAGATAAGGTGATTACAATAAATTTGTAATCTTTTTACACACTGTATGTCTCCATTTTTCTTTAACTTGTAATATTAAATTTTAAACCCATACAGCTACAGTATGATGTTAAGGATATATATATATATATATAATTACACACATACTTCACAAGGGTACCCCCACAATTCATTGTAATAATCAGAACATTTTATAATTTTTTTTATCAAGTAGAAATTCATTAGATAAACTTCAACGGTACAATCAAAGACATCAATAAGACATCTAAAATACCAATTCCAAGAGGGCAACAAACTAACATGTTAAAAGTAAAACTAACGAGGACAAAACCCGCACTAAAACTACTAGCCCACATCATCATAATTAGCCATAAGCCCAAACAAATCACATAAACCCAACATAACTAAAACTCTAAAACAACCCATGAGCCTAAACGAACCCTACCACTACTACCTGAAGAAGCGTCGTCGCAGCCACACCAACCACCGCATCCATAACAGATGTGGGGAAAATATGATTTCCAGCTATCTATCTGCGCATAAGAGCGAACAAATAAATGAAAATAACAACTTTACCAACACATTTAGGTGATTTGCAGCAACCCCCGTTAAAGACGATGTAGAAACAAATTTAGAGAACATGAGCGGCGTTAGGGAGTAGGATTTGATTGAGAACATAGACTAAAGGGGTGATGGGGAACTTCAATCTAACCATGGCTTAGAAGAAACCACCAAAAGGAGTTTTTTATCCAAAACGCCCTAGTGGAATTATTCACTAACCTAAAAAGAAAAGACGAGAAGAGATGAGGGGGAGGAGGGGCAGTAACGCTTCTTCCTCCTCCCCCCTCTATGGAATTTTCCTTTAGGACTCACAGAGGGAGAGAGCGGCTAGGGTTTTGAATTAGAATGATACCTCGTGAACATTTTATAATTTAAGTCCTCATTCAATGGTCATTCCAAAAAATCGTCATCGAAAACTATTTAGTCATCTAAAATGTGCAAAAAGAATATATAAACTAACTTGCACATATCTCTTCCAACATTCAGATCTTTGGGATTTATCTGGTGAAAGACAAGCAAATTCCAACTCTTGACGACGTGTTGGGACCAGGGAGTAACATGGTAGCTGCTGGCTATTGCATGTACGGGAGCTCTTGCACGGTACAAACAATCAACTCTCTCTCCTATATGTTCTGAAAATTTTATCCAAATTTTATATGAGCATTATTTGTCTTACTCTTCCCTCATGTTCTAATAAGATAGTCTGTTTGGATCTGTTTGGAACTGCAGCTGGTGATTAGTACTGGACATGGAGTGAACGGCTTCGGGCTTGATCCGGCTCTTGGGGAGTTTATATTAACTCACTCCAATATTAAGGTACATACATACGTATTAGGTACGGTGTCTACTTGTACACAAATTTCTAGTGTTATTTTTATTATACATATTTCTTGAGTTTCTCTGCTGTGATATGAGCTGAAGGGTGCACCCTTTTGTCATGAGCTGAAGGTTGCATATGTGGGATTCTGAGCCTCTACGTTTAGAGTATGCATTTCCTTGCATTACACTCAACCTCGGACTCCTCTGTATATGACGATGAGGCAATGACAATATTGAAAGCTATGCTTTACTCTGCAGATTCCACAGAAGGGAAAAATCTTCTCTGTAAACGAAGGAAACGCTCAAAACTGGGATGACCAAACTGCCAAGTATGTTCTGGTTATTTTCCTGTTGAGAATTTTACATTGCAAGTAACTGAAATAACCAAATAAAAAGTACTATAATTGATACTTTTATCTTGCAGATATGTGGAAAAATGCAAGTTCCCAGATGGTTCATCTCCAAAGTCCCTTAGATACATTGGAAGGTATAATTCATAAATGAATGTTTTGTTTGCACACCATTTTCTCTCTGTTTCTGCCTTTTGCTGCAGCATATCATCCAACTGTAGACCTACGCTTCGATCATAAACAAAGCTTTATGTTCTTTAACTGATAAAACTTGTATTGTTTAATGCAGTATGGTTGCTGATGCCCACCGAACATTGCTTTATGGCGGAGTCGTTTTGTACCCTGCTCATAAGAAAAGCCCAAATGGAAAACTACGGTACTGCAATGCATCTATTATCTACTTTTACTCCACTAATTGGGGCAACAAACTTAGCCGCAATAGGAGTGTATACCTCTTTGTTTCTCTCATCATCACGTGAGGACAGCCGTATACGGGTATACACTCCCCCATACATGTAAGTTTCTTTCCCCATTAAGGATGATGTGTGAGGGCTGATGTATTCAAATGCTATTAGGTTCTGTTTGGATGGGGGATTTGAAATGAAAGGATATGTATTTTACCACAAAGCTAAATTTGCTACAAAAACAAGAACCGCATTAGATGGAACGTATTTGAAATTACTAGATGTACTGATGTAGTACATTTGCAATGAATTTGAAATGATTAGACCAAAAGAATCATTTGAAATCCATTCAAAATCTTAGCATATAATATATACATGGATTGTAATAGTCTAAACAAATAATTTTATCTTATAATGTCATCAAAATCCCTATATTTGAAATCCCTCCATCCAAATGGAGTCTTTAGTCTTTTTTTTATTTTTTATTATTACAACTACTTTGGCAATTAACTAGAATTTAATTCCTACAAAACAGAGTTCTTTATGAAGTTTTTCCAATGTCATTCCTGGTTGAGCAAGCAGGAGGTCAAGCTTTTACTGGCAAGCAACGGGTATTGACCTTAGTTTTTGTTTGTTTTACACCTTACATTACCAGACTGTTTAATGTATATGTTCTTACCAATTGGTTAAATATTACAGGCTTTGGACTTGGTTCCAAAGAAGATACATGAGAGGTCCCCAGTTTTCCTTGGAAGCTATGCTGATATTGAGGAAATTAAACAACTTTATGGGGCTACTTAAGGAAATAACGCACATTCTATTCATAATAAAAATAAGCACATAGAATTTTTATATATGTTTTTGTAATATATATATATGGCAAAATTGTAGCAATGGTCCCTGCACTATGCCCCAACTTTACTTTTCGTCCCTTACATTGCTAAATTGTTACCGTCGTACTTTAATTATGCCTCCAGTTTCAGAAACCGTCATTTCCGTCATCTTTGTCAACTTTTCCGTTTAATTTAAGGGCATATTTGTCTTTTCAAGTGGTGGATTGAACAGAGGCATGTCCATATCAGCAACTTCTCAAATTTATGGCGCTAAACTTGAACCCTAATGCTATGTCAGCCATTTATATTAATATTAAGGCATCTAGCGAAAAAAAAATTACAGAGGGAGAGGAGAAAAAGAAGATGTCGCAGAGTTCGGGGAGCCATAACACATGGAAGCTTTGCGAGTGTGGGGGAGCTATTAAAAGATGGACTTCATGGACATATTCAAATCCTGGGAGAAGATTTGAAGCTTGTGAGAATAATCAGGTAAGTCACTTTGTCTGGCATTTTGTGTTTTTTGTCTGGAATTTTGTGGTTTTTGGTCCATGGGTTTTAGATCTAACCTGGATATGGAAAATTCTTCAGAAGAACAAAGGCAAAGGTCATTATTGGGAGTGGGTGGACGAAGAGATATGCTCACAAGGAAAGGAAGTTCTTCATGGGTTGCTAAGAAGAATGAGAGGTATGAAGTAGGAACTGAATGAAATAGAAGAAGATAATGAAGGACTAAAAGATAAGCTCAGAGCAATTGAGCAAGAAAACAAGGAATTGAAAGCAACAGTTGGAAGACTGGGAAGGCAGAGAATGAAGATGGATGAGAAAATTATGGTGTATCAACATAGAGGGAAACTAATGTGGGTGGGTCTGTTTGTGGCATGGGTTCTTAGTGTCATGGTTGCAATGTTGATGATTAAGATCCTAAATTTGTCTGAAAAAATTTCAGAGAATTTGATGATAGACTGGGAAGGCAGAGAATGAAGATGGATGAGAAAATTATGGTGTATCAACATAGAGGGAAACTAATGTGGGTGGGTCTGTTTGTGGCATGGGTTCTTAGTGTCATGGTTGCAATGTTGATGATTAAGATCCTAAATTTGTCTGAAAAAATTTCAGAGAATTTGATGATCAAATAGTGAAGAGTGCTGCTAAATGAACCCTAAAATTAACTGAGTACACCCCTTAATCTAAGTACACCCTAATATTTTAATCCAAATGTAAAATTAACTAAGTACACCCTATTTAACTACCAAAAATACCCTTAGTACACCCTAATACA